GCAGCCTCGACCTGCTGGGCTCAGGCGATCCTTCTGCCTCAGCCTCCAAGTAGCTGGAACTGCAGGTGCACGCCACCACGCCCAGCTAATTTTTTATTTATTGTAAAGATGAGGTCTCGCCAAGTTGCCCAGACTGGTCTCAAACCCATGGGCTCAGGCAATCTTCTCACCTCAGCCTCCCAAAGTGCTGGGATTATAGGTGTGAGCCACCATACCTGGCTTTATTTTTCTTTCATCTAATTGTGGTATCAGTTATTATAATACTATTAATGAGTTGAATAATGTTCTCTTTATCTGAAAACTTGAAGACTTCTAACCTCATTGGAGGTTTTGTGGGCTACCCTGTAAAACCCCCTGGGTTTGGTGTTTTCTTTGTGGGAAAATTGTGCACTACTAATTCAGTTTCTCTAAATGTTAGAGGACTTTTTTCAAGTTTTCTATTTCTCCTTAAGCCATATTGCTTAATGTTAATTTTCAAAAAATCAGGGTGGGTATGGCTTACACCTGCAATCCCAGGACTTTGGGAGGCAGAGGCAGGGGGTTCTACTAAGCCTGGGAGTTTGACACCAGCCTGGGCAACATAGTGAGATCCCGTCTCAATTAAAAAACTAAGCTTTTGCCAGGCTCGGTGGCTGTAATCCCAGCACTTTGGGAGGCCGAGGTGGGTGGATTGCCTGAGCCCACGGATTCGAGACCCGCCTGGACAACTTGACGAGACCTCATCTCTACAACAAATCAAAAATTATCCGGGCATGGTAGCGTGCGCCTGTAGTTCCAGCTACTTGGAAGGCTGAGGTGGAAGGATCGCCGGAGCCCAGCAGGTCGAGGCTGCGGTGGCCGGGAGCGGCCACTGCACTCCAGTCTGGGCGACAGAGTGAGACTCCAACTCAAAAAAAACACAAAAAAACCCCAAAAAACTAAGCTTTTAGCCATATTGATCATTATTGTGTTCTGCTTCTTTAATTTCTCCTTTTAACTTCACTACTCTTTTCAGCCTTCTTTTTAACATAAATATTTAAGGCTATACATTTTCCTAAAGGTACTTTTTATTTTTTATTTTTTGAGTCAGTCTGAATCCATCACCCAGGCTGGAGTGCACATTCATGACCACCCCAGCCTCGACCTGCTGGGCTCAGGCGATCCTTCCATTCCAGCCTTCCAAGTAGATGGAACTATAGGCACGTGCTACCACGCCTGGGTTATTTTTTGATTTACTGTCTCACCAAGTTGCCCAGGCTGGCCTCAAACTCCTGAGTTCAGGCAATTCTCTTGCCTTGACCTTCCAAAGTGCTGAGATTATAGACTTGAGTCACCACACTGGGTCATCTGACCATGTTTCAAAAGGTGCTTGCTCTCCCACCCACAGGTGTGTCCTTCTCCTCTTCTGGACAGTCTGTGTCCTGTGCTCCCCTGCACCCCAAGGCCAGGCAGATGCCCAACAGTTAGTCCTATCCTTCCGCAGCCCGAGCTGTAGTGAAGAGCCTCTGCCTGAAGCAGTGGGCAGCCTTGGTGGGACAGGGCAAGGGCTGACTGGATCAGAGGGACATCTGGAGGAGCTAATCTGGAAGGGGACGGGGCTACACCCGGAGGAGGGGGCGTGGCCCACACGGAGGAGGGGGCGGGGCCGTGCCAGGGAGGCGCCGACTCTGAGGAAGGGGTGGAGGAGGGATGGGGTCGAC